AGTCGGCTCAACCTCGTCGTCTGCGCTCACGTGTGTCAGTTAAGGTCATGTTACTGATGCACTAGTCAGTGGACGCACATAATTACCGTCAGGTGTGAACACGAGAGGTGGCGTGATCTGCAGCTGCCATGGGCCGGGGCCAGGGTGAGTGCGGTTCCGTCGGGGGTGCATCACCACAATCCGAGGGCTGCAGAAACTCAGTGCAGGCAGTACATTTTTTCCTTTCACGCATATGGTAAAGGACGGAAAGGTTTAGATCTGAGGAGGTCTAGGTATTCAATGCAGTACGGCATCCTGCCACTACAAATACCTCTCTCATACTTCCTCATGCTCACAGCCCTCGGTCCACCGGCGTTCACCTAGACAGTTTACGTCCCTCAGCTCAAGCAAATGCCTGCAATTGCTTGATGAACTAATCCGACTAGCTTACACGTTGGCCCAAGACAATTCCAATATCGAAAGCGGAGGCAACGGGTGAGACAGTTAATGTAGGTGGGTCAGTCTAGTGATACTACTCTACATTTGGCAACAACGAGATTAAGCAAAGACCTGGCTTGACATAGTTCGTCAAGAAGAGGGATTAGTCCCCTGGGTGAAAGTTATTTAGCCCTAAAACAACAACTCCGTAAGTACGCCGCGGCCTATTTTGGCGGGGGGAGACGATAGATGTGAAATAACCGAGGCCAGGTAGAGTAAGAAGTATTGTGGTCGTACAAAGTACAATCACAGAAACCGAGTCAACAAAAGGTCCTCTTCTGCTGCAGAGGCCCGCATACGCCAGCAGAGACTTGCACAACTACTAAAAAAGGCTACTATCACGGCGAATAATATTCATTGTATACTGGAAAGACACAAAGATTAGGCTCGAGCCAGGTCACTTGGGGAGGCGGGAGAACTGACTTGTCTACAGAGAATCGATTAAAAGAAAAATGGATCGCAGCATCACAAAAAGTTGACAATTCAAAACGTTCATCAAAACGATTGAAATCAACAAACGCAACATCTAGAGAACGAAAGGGGAAAACTCACAAAACACAGGAAATGCTAGAGCACCCGAAATTGGGGGGATTAAAGCAGTCTAAAAATGACCACAGAGGGGATTACCAAAGGTTGCATGACGGGCAAGCATCAGGCAGTCATGAAATAGGTGAATGGGTCGTAGAGGTCATTATCCGGACACAGGCGCATGTATGAACGCGTGAAAAAATAATTTTGTTAAATAAAAAAAAGGCAAGTTGGTGAGCTAGGTGGAAGAGGTTTCTGGTCGAGCGCGGAACACGAGACCGTCAGTAGACGCATATCGGTCATCCTCTGGACTTGATGCGGTGCCATCATCAAGATGAGAAGTGGGAGAATGGTCCTTTGGCGTGGTCCTGCCTGAATCATCGTCAAATTCTGGCTCGCTCAGTGCCTCCGGAAAGACATCGAAGTCATAGGGGAAGGAAGGTCTTGAAAAGACCCGGTGAAGGCGACCGAATGAAGCAGTTCGCCGTAGAGACTTTATCAATTTCATGTTCATGGCACGCCTTCGAGCGCTCTGGAAACGACCACGCAGTCGATCTTTCGCGCGATCGATATCAGTCCGCCAGTCGGCGGTATAGAGTAGCACCGCGGCTCGGTAGCCAATGGGATAAACTTGCAGTGCCCAGTAGGTGTTAAGACCATCGAGGGTGAGGGAGGCGGTGAACCAGATTCGAGTGAGGTTGGGCAGTAAGCGATTGGCTCTAAGGTGTTCAGGAGTGTTGTAGAGCATGTATGCGAGGATCCAGTAGGGCAACACTAGGGCGTTCCTTGTGAGCGCGAAAAGAACGGAGTAGACGAGGGTCGTTAGGGCCACCCTACGTCTGTCGGGGGTGTAGCCGAGAGTCCGAAAGAACCACCTAAAGTAGAGTGCAATATTTCAAAATAAAATCAGTAGTTGGTAGTAACTCCTCTACCCCCCCATAACTATTTACAGCGGCTTTCATAAAAGTCAAAAAAGCTGGATAGATAAAATCGGAAGTCCCACTCATGTGTTACGTTTAATCACAACCAATCTTATAGAATACTGCTCCAATGTACCACCGCAATTACGATACTGATATTGATGTTTGCATTTTTAGCATTAAGGGTTATAAGCGTCATAGGCGGGCTTTTGCAACTGAGCCGTCACTTTTGCTGCTGTCCATTGGAATGTGAATTTTCTTATAAATACAAGGCTTGGCGCAGTATACCCATTATAAAGCAATTCTTAGCCCCTTGGTTTATTAGAACTGCAACAATGACGTCATCAGCGCGCCAGGCTGGTACCGTCTTGAGGGAAGTCTAATTGTGCCTACATTTTGCGACTCATTCAAGGACCATTAGTCATGGTGTTGGCAATTGCAGTCTTTGACCACTATGCAGGGTTCGTGATTTCCCGGTGTTATGTCGTTTGTGTGTCTACATTCTATTTACAATGAATGGAGTAGGTTTTTGCTGAAAAATGTGTAAGGATATTTACCAAATATAGCGTTCTTAGTTAACCACCGTCTTCGT